AATGGCCAGTGCTAGGAGGGAAGAAGGGCTGCCACGGGGAAGTGGGGGACCCCACTCGGGTGGTGACATCTAAACGCAGGCCGACCCCACAGAAGCCGCCGCGGGCGTGAGTTGGCGGAGCAGCTGAGGGCGGGCTGGGCAGGGGGACCGGAAGGGCGAGGCCAGGACGGCTACAACCGAGACCATCTCCAGTCAGCCCGCCGGGCAGTCCGTCAGGGGGCTGTCACTCGGTGGAGGGTGGCTTTACCTGACAGTTGACGTCCATCTGCCCATTTGAAAGCAGGTACTGAACCACATCGTAGTGGCCTTTCTTCGCAGCCAGGTGCAAACAGGTGGAGCCCTCTGCGTCCTGCAACACAAATGCCATTCAGGTCTGGAGAGACGCATCGTGACGTGCGGCGTGCCAGGCTGAGAGCCTGCCCATGAGGGAGGTGCTAAACGAACATGGGCCCGGGCAGGAAGGTCAGCAGGCCGGAGCCTGAGCTGTGCCCACCAGGGCTGGGAGCCCGGCCTCGGACAGCCAGGGTCCTCCGCGTCCAAGAAACGCCTGCAGGTGCATTATGACGATCACTCGTCCCCTCTTCACCCCCTCGGTGCAAGCAGGCTGAGGGACGTGGCCAGTGTGCAGTGGCCTGTCCTTCCACGAGCTGTTCTGACATGACCGGGGGCCATTCCAAGCCCTCCACACTCCTCATACCGTGAGAGGCCACGGCCACGGGGGCCCTGGTCGCCATAGCACATCTAACACGGTGCTAACGACACGGTAATTGTCCACGTGCCACAGAAACTGAAAATAAAGGGCAGAAAAGACCAGGGACCCAGAAAGGGGGCAAGCTGGGCCCGTGGCTCGCGTGTCGGCTGCGGGCACCTGCTCAGCTCTCAGCTCTACTTCCTCGAGAACGCTGAATGCCTCACTAACTGAACCGCCTCAGAGCAAAACAAAAGCCACCCACCCAGTATGGCAGTCAGACCAGGAAGCTCGGGACACCGGGCCGCGGGCTGGCCAGGCAGGGTGCGACCGAGAGCATCTGCCTTCGTGGGGGGCTCTTCCCACGCCCAGCGCAGGTGCCTCGCGGACGCCGGACCCCTCTCTCCCACAGGCGCTTTCTCCCCCTCCCGTCTCCGTGCGGACCGCCGTCCTTCCTCCCTCTCCCCCGACTCCCGTTCTCAGGGCAGTGGCCCTAGACGCTACCACACGTCATCAAACGCATTTCTAATCCAGCCTGACGCTCATCAGTAAACCCACTTTTCTCAAGAAAACCCCAATAACCCACGTTTCTGGTGTTTAACATTTCAGTTTTGTTACGAACACGAAACGCAAGGCTGCTGGTCGAAAGTCTGGCTGTATTTTCGAGTGTCTCACTCATTAGAACAGGTACAGTCTGGCAGTCCCCTCGGTACCAGAGGGTGGCCACAGCCCCAGGGACAGGGAGCGCAGACAGATACACTGAGGGGCTTTGGCCTCTGGGGTCTCCCCTGCTAGCGGCGTGTGCCTCAGTGGGGTGGCCACGAGGCAGCGCAGGGAGAGGCCGAGGTCAACCGAGGCGGCAGCGCCTGGCCCGCACAGTGGGAGGTCTGCTGGGGAGCCAGCAGGAGTGCAGGGCTGAGGGGACTTCAGCCAAGAGACCACCACAGAAGAGGACGTGCAGACAGGGGCAGCAGGCAGGGACAGGTGCATCAGCCTTGACCCCAGGGGCGAGCTCCAGGATCTCCAGGACTCCACAACCCCCAACTCGGGACTCCCCCAGCGCCCATTCCGTGGTTTGCCTTTCCTCCTGAGTGAGCGTGAGTGACAACTGTGACGCACCTGGACACTTCTGATCAGCAGCACCCACCCTTAAGTGATGGTTTTATGTGCCCAGGCTGCCCGCAAGGATCACACTGGGCGTCCTGCAACGCCTGCCCGGCTCAGCACGTGTCTGAGGTCACTCCCTCCTGCGACACAGCACTGGCTCCAACCTGCGCGTTCTGGGTTGGGGACTCCGTGACAAGGACACACCAACACTGCACAGCGTCCGCCGGGGCACGTGCTGCACGGGACCGCTGGCTCCAGGTGGGGTGAGCTGCTCGCCTGGCAGCTGCTCCGTCCTTCCCGCCTCTCAGAGCGTTTCAAAGGCCGAGCGTTGTTCCGAGGCTGCTGGCGGCTCGTTGTCCCTCCGCGGGCCCACGCGTGCTCAGACTCTGCCCTCTGTCTCGGGGCTCCTTGGGCTCCTTCACCCAGGAGCCCTTCTGCTGCATGGGTGTGGCCTCTCCCGGGCGCTGCGAGCTCCTGGTGGCGGCGGTGGCCTTTTGGGTGCGCTGTGCTACCTTTGTTAAGCGGAAGCTCTTCACGACGATGCACTCGATCCGTCACTTTTGTGCTTTTTTTGCGTCTTGAAGAAATCTCTGTGCTGGAATCACAAGGATAAGAGTCCCTCTTATAAAAGTTTGGCGATTGCTCCTTTCGCGTTTAATCCTCGTGTCTGCTCTGTCACGTGCGTGTTTGGTCTCCATCCTTTTCTCTTCCATCTGTGCTTTACACGCAACACGAGTTTAACTAAGTTATCGCAAAAATTGCTATGATTTTTTTATGATCACTGCTATGTATCTATTATCGGGTATGGTGGAATATTTGGAATATGTTTTTTTTATAAAAGTTTGGCGATTGCTCCTTTCGCGTTTAATCCTCGTGTCTGCTCTGTCACGTGCGTGTTTGGTCTCCATCCTTTTCTCTTCCATCTGTGCTTTACACGCAACACGAGTTTAACTAAGTTAGCACGCAGCTGGCTCCTGCTTTTTTATCAACTCAACGTTCTGTCTCTTTCCACTGAAAGTGATTGCCGACGTGGCCAGGCTGGAGCGTGCGGCCTTCCTATCTGCCCCATGTGCTTTTACTCACCTTGCCCTGCCTTTCCGTTGCATGGGTACTTTTTGTGTGGTTACTTGTACTGGTTTTTTAAAGGGCTTCCTTAAAACTTTCTTTCTTTTGAATGACTTTCTTAACACTCCCTAGGGACCAGAACACCCGTCTCTAACAGTCTACTTAGGTTCGCAGCTGTCCCCTCCCACGACAGAGACAAAAGTCCCTGACAACAGTCTAACGCCCGCCACTGCCGCCCTCCAGCGCTCGCACGCAGCCAGCCGGAAGCAGCCGGGTCTGAACTGCACGAGTGGGCTCACAGACGGACAGCTGGCCCTCGTGTCTCTGGGTTTTGCGTCTGCGGACTCAACCAACCCCAGTCGGAACAGGATTCTGGGCTGCAGAGGGCCGGCTGTGCGCCCTGTCCCACCATTTTACATGAGAGGTCTGAGCGCCTGCAATTCTGTGTCCACAGGGGGTCCTGGAGTAACCCCCACGGACACTGAGGGCTGTGGTGAAATTCTCGGGGAGTTGGAAGTCATATGTGGACTTCTGCTGTGAGGACCCGGCGCCCTAGTCCCTCACTGTTCAAGAGCAGCCGTCCTTCACTTCTAAAGCCACATACGTGCCACCTCGCGGTGGCAGCGCGCTCACCGTAAGCAGGCTTCTCCTAAGAAGTTTAAAGGAACAACAGCCTCCCTCATTTACCATCCTGGGGCTTCTCAGGGGTTTCCGAGCTTTCCTCCTACGGTGTCAGCGTTCTTAGCGCAAATCTGATGAATCCGATTGCTTCTGTTTACATGAAAATGTCTTATTTCGCAATTATTTTTTGAAGGCTACTTTGAATGGGTGTAGCATCCTGGGATGACTACAAAATATCACTCCATTCTCTCCTGGCTTCCACTGCTTCCGATGAGAAGTTGGCAGTTTTTCATAATGCTCTTTGCCTGTACGTAGTATGATTTTCTCTGGCTTCTTTTCAGTTTTTCTCTTTATTTTTGGTTTTCAGCAGTTTATCCATGATGTATTTAGTTGTGCGTTCTTTGTATTTATCCAGCGTGTGCTTTACTGTTACCTAGTTTGGCAGGTCTCCAGCAAATTCGGTACATTCACGGCCATGTTTTCCCCAATATATTTTTTCCTACTGGTTTTCTCCCTCCTCTTTCTGGGACTCCAAATACACACATCAGGACAGTCTGATTCTGTCCTACAATCCGCTTTCAGACTGGGCAGTTCCTATGACCAGTCTACAAGTTCTGCTGCACCTAATCTGCTGACTGGCTCACCACGACCTGTCTACTTCAGACGGCTGCTGCCCCCAGCGCCACCACGTCCTCTCCACCCATGGCCTGCCGGTTCCAACCACTGCTCCCAAGTCCTGAGCTGACCTCTTGGCTCCTCGGTGGCACTGGGCTTGGGTGCTGGCTTCTGTCATGAGGCTGGGAGATCCTCCCTGGGCAGAGAACCAAGTAAATGCAGACTCACCCGCCCCACTGCCACGGAGAGGGTTAGTAAGAGTCATCTGACAGTTCTAACAAATATTTATAGGAAAAGTGAAGGTTTCCGGAACTCAAACATCACCAAAAACAAACCAAAGGACTAAATACAAGCTTGAAAAATATCCATAACGTAAAGTGGATACCTATGGAAAAAAAGTTCAGTTTAAGAGAAGCAAAATAAAATAGTAAAAAATAAATGAATAAATTAAACAACCATTTTGCATATCAAATTATTAACGTTTTTAAAAATATGTAATATTTGGCACTGGTTACAGTGTAACGAAAAGAGTGTGTAGATATTCCTGGGTGCAACTCAGAAAGAGGTACCAGAGACCTTAAAACTGATTCTTTATTTTTATCTAGAAATTCCACGCCCAGAAATGTGTCATAAGAAGTCATGCTTGTGCAAAGACTTAGCTACGAAAATCTCCTCTCTGCGCCCTTCTGAGTCTCCTGAGAGCTGGGTCCTTGTGAGTGGTGGCAGCGGTGGGATGTGCCTACTCCTCTCCCCTTGGCCAGAACCAGAACCTCCCATGTGCCTGTCCTGAAGGCCCAGACTCCCGGCCCTTCCTCATCATGCTTGTGCAAAGACTTAGCTACGAAAATCTCCGGAAGCCCTGCGCTGAAGAAAAACTGAAAACGCCAAATATCGGACGATGAGAAAATCTGATTAAAAAGTGGTATCATTATAGCTTGAAATGATGCAGCCACTTAAAATGACATCATGGAATAACAGGATATTTAGTGACATAGAAAAAGAATTTAACGTGACAGGAAAGAGCGACCGGTGAACGAGTGTGAGCAGTGTGATCACGTCTCACTGGGAAGAACGTGTATTAACGTGAAAGCCTAAGACCTTTTCTGCATCTCTCACTGTGGCGTCACACATGCAGAACATAAAATCCGCCGTCTCGGCCATTTTCAGGCATGTCACACAGCGGCACCAATGACCTGCACAATGCTGTGCGACCGCCACCACCACCTATTCCCAAAACGTCCTCGCCTCTCGACAGACACTCGGTAAACATGAGGGGCTCCCCTACAACCCCCCCGGGAGCCTCCAATCGACTCTGTCTCTAAACCTGCCTGTCCTGGCCTCACAGGAGTGGAGTCCGACGGCATCTGTCCTTCTGTGACGGGCTTCTTTCCCTTACCATCGTGTCCTCAAGTTCATCCACGGTACAGCCTGTGTCAGAATCTCTTTCCTTCTCAAGGGTGCGTGACATCTCATCGTGTGGATGGATGGGCCACATCGTGCTTGCCCACTGCCGGACCACTGAGCTGCTGCCCGCTCTGGCTGCTGTGCACAGCGCCACTATGAGCATGGGCGTGCACACGCCTATCTGTGCCCGCTTTCGGTTCGCTGGGTGTATGCTGAGCTTCACACGGTGATTTCCTGTTTCACTTTTTAAGGGACCGCCAAACTGTCACCCACAGCATCCATGTCGTTTTACAGTCCCACAGCAATGTGTAGGGTGCCGATTTTTCTGCATCTATGCTACCGCTTATCTTCTGATTTTTGGGTGACAGTTGTCCTGAGGGGTGTCGGGAGGTCTCTCGCTGTGGCTCTGCTCTGTGTCTCCCTGACGACTAGTGATGTTGCACATCTTCGCAGAGGCTAATGGGCCATTCACATGTCCTCCCTGGAGAAATGTCTGCTCAGACCCTCTGCCCACTCTTTGGGTGGGATTTTGGCTGTCGAGTATTAGGAGTTCAGTCTACATTCTGGACAGTGACCCCTGTCACACTCAGGGTTTAGGAATGCTTCTTCCATGCTGAGACTTATCTTTTCACTCTTGCACAGATGTTTCCAGTTTTGATGAAGTTCAATTTATCTATTTTTTATCTGTACTTTTACGGTCATATCAAAGAAATCATTGCTAAATTCGCTGTCAGGAAAATTGTTCCGTTTTCTTCTAAGAGTTTTACGGTTTTACCTCTTAAGTTCAGGTCTTCGATCCAGTGTGAGTTAATTTTCGAACACAGCGTATGGTATGGGCCCAACTTCATTCTTTTGCGAGTGGCTGTCCAGTTGCCCCAGTACCATTTGCTGAAAGACACCCCCTTCCTCCATCGAGTGGTCTTGGCACCTCTGTTGAAGATCATGTGACACACGTGAGGGTTGACTCTGGCTCACGGTTCCGTTCCACGGCCTCTGTCTGCCCTCTGCCAGCACCGCACTGTTTGGTGACTGTAGCCTTATAGTCTGTTTTCAAATCAGGAAGTCCGGGTCCTCCAGCTTTGTTCTTCTCCAAGATTGTTCCTGCTGTTCAGGGTCCCCCGAGACCCGTATGGATTTTAGGGTGTGCTTTTCTACACCTGAAAAAAACGACACCGGGGTTTTGACGGGGACGGCACTGGTGGCTGACGTCTTCCCGTTACTGTGTCTTCCAGTCCGCGATCACGGGGTGTTTCCACTTATCTGCGTCTTTAATTCCTGTCAGCAGTGTTTGTGGTTTTCAGTGTGTTTCACCTCCCTGGTTAAGTTTACTCCTAAGTATCTTACAGTTTTTGATGCTGTTGTAAATGGAATTATGTTCTTAACTTCCTTTTTGAACAGTTCACCAAGTATAAATAAACACACCTGATTTTTCTGTACCCCTTGTGTATCTCCCAATTTTCCTGAATGTCCTTAACTAGTTCTGACAATCGTTTTGCGGATTCTTTAGGGTTTTCTACATTGAAGATCACGTCATCTGTGATCAGAGACCGTTTTGTTTCTTCCCAGTTTGGACGCTTTTGACCTCTCTTTTGTGCCTAACTGGACCAGGCAGAACAGAGAAGCGGGAAGTGTGTCAAAGGGGGCTGCTACCGACCTCGGCCCAGCGGAGCCCTCACCAGCCGCCGCCCGGTCCACCAGGGTCGGCGGCCACCAGCATTGCCTGCAGATGCCCCGGTGACTTGCAAGGTGAACTAAAGGCTCTTGGAGGACCGAGCAGGCGGCTACAGGGACGACCCTGGCGCTGCCCGGCCTGTGTCTGGGAACGCGCTCTACACCACAGACCCTGGCCGACCGGCATGCGTACCTTAGGGTCCACGAGGGCCCCGGCCTTGATGAGGTACCTCACCGCGTCCAGGTGGTTGTTCTCAGCAGCCTCCATCAGCGGGGTCCGCTGGTCCTCGGAGCAGCTGTCGATGTTGGCTCCCGCCTGGTGAAACAAGGGCATCGAGGTGTGTGTGGAGTTGCTACCGCAGCCACCACCTGCTAAGGGGGACGACTCACGGGCGTCAGACCCCTGAAACGGAAAGCTCCCACGGGCTACGTCACCATCGCCTACTGAACCCGCGTCTGACTTTTCCAAAACCGAATTCGAAGACATCATCATCCCATCGCCTCCAGACCTTCAGTTCAGAAAGGGCACTGTCGTTTCTAACCGATGTGACAGGAAATGCTCTGAGCATATTAGTGCCACCTCCTTCAAAAAGGAGAAGGTAGGTGAAGAAGGGGTACACAGGAGGCCCCCAGCCAGGCCAGGGACAGTGGTGGGCTCAGTGGCCTCAGCAGCCTCTTTCTCCTGTTTAATGCTTGCCAAAACTAACTAACTAAATAACTTCCAGTGGAATGTATTTTGGAGCAGCTTTTAATTTTCCAGGAGCGTGCGCAGTTGAAGCCCCACGCACTAGGTGCAGGTGTGTGCAGGGCAGGTCCTGTCCGTGCGAGGCTTAGGGAGCCATGGCTTGGAGACGGGCCGTGCGCTAAACGCAGCCCAGCGGTTTGCAGTCGAAACCCTTGACCCATGGGAAAAACTGTCTAACTTCTTAGCCTGAAGTACAAAGAGCTGATATTTAGTTTTAAAAATAAACACTTACTATGGAAAAGGCTAGAAAGTGTTATTTTCACTGTTAGCAACTAAAACGTAACCGGCACACATGAGACGTTTTCACGTAGACCCGGCACGGCGCCGTGGAAACTGAGGACCCAGACGTGCCACAGAGTTCCGTGGGGACTTGCAGCTCTGTCCGGAGTCGCACCCCACAACGGGCAAGGGCAGAGCCACTGTCCCATAGCTGGGCTCAGAGGTCAGAAGCCAGAGCACGGAGGTGGAAAATGGGAGCGCGGGACACAAACACTCACAGCCAAAGTCAGAGTCAAGCCAGAGCACCCGGCAGCACAGTTTGAAGAACTCGACACACACGGCACACTGGCGACAGCAGAGGGGGCTCCACACGGCACGACCAAGGCCGGGCAGCACGGATCAGGTACACCCTCTGCAGGGGACAGCCAGGCACTGCCCGCACACCGGGCGCGCACACTCGGCGACACTCTCTTTGACCCCCCAAAGTCACAATCAGAGCACAAAGGGCCCAGAGGTGAGAGCGGCCGCAGGGAGCTCCAAAGGGGCCAGAGCACCAGGCCGTCCCTGGGATGTGGGGTCTGGGTCTCAGCTGCTGAGGGGACCCTGAGCAGCCCTCGGTGTGCTGGTCGGTGAGCCGAGCTAGCAGGTGCCCCGTGGCACGCAGAACCCCGGGGGCCCCTCACAGGGACATGCAGCTGAGCCACGACTGGGACCAGAAAACTCAGCCCAGAGGAAAGGAAACGTCACCAGGAAAGAGAAGGTGAGGCCGAGAGGTAGCCAGAGCCTCTGAGGACCTTGAGACAGGGGCGAT